CGGTAGCAAATGTTCAGAGGTGAATTTTGGACGCTTCGCGCAGAAAGAAATCGAGACACTTTTAAAGAGCTAGCTTTCTAATTAGCTCTGCTATTTGAAGATTGACATACATTAATATTTTTTTCTAATTAGGAATGTATTACCATATTGTACAATATAAAGACCTGTCAGCATGACATGCGACCAACAGCACACGTGAATACTCTCCCATCATCTCTGTTATTGGGGTGCTCACGAATACTCACAATTGGACAAGGTGCAATTAAATTTCCGTACAATTTTACAATATTATGTTTGCACGGTTGTACAAGAGTGTAAGATGGGATCACACAGTAGTGCAGTACATACCCTGTTACAATCATCGTCTAAGGCTATGTTGTAGCCAGTAGAACTTCTTGATCAACTTAGAGACGTGCGTCTGTTAAAGATACTGATAAATACGCAGAGGCATAAAAAAATGTCGACTTCGGGTTTGATATCCATGCTTTTCGCGACGGGCCACAAGATTTAGTAGTAAAACGCTTTTCTTGCCTTCGACTTAAATTTCAAGATACGATCCCATCTTCAGTAGGCTTGACCGGAGCGCCATGAATCATCGGATCGACAGAAGTCGAAGATAGTGGATGAATTGCCAAAAACCTTAAGCTCTGCTTGAATAGCTAAAAGAGTTGTGAATAGTTTTGGCTTGGGCCAGCTAAAATAGTTGTGCCCCTCTTGCTTGTCATGAAATTGATTTTCGGGCTGCCTATTCCACGAGTACGTTAGACACAACTTTCGTTACACAAATTGAGAACATCACAAAATATGTTTTGCTTCACACCTGCTTTTTTAAACTAAGCCGAGTGTAAGCCGATCACTATTGATAGTCGAGCAGATGGTTTCCTAGATTCCGAGGCTATCTGTGTAAACAGCGAACAATAGCAGCTAACAAAAGCGTGATATGGAAATCGGAATTACCAAAGATTTGATGTTTGTCTATTCTAATATGCACTTCAATCAAAGTCCAAGTCTAACACATCTACATCGTGTTAGCATTCGCTGCAGGCGGTCAAAAGGCCAAATGACAACTATATACTTTGCGGCGGGTGTATAGCATTAAATGCAATACCGTTCCGCATCTGTATCATTAGCTTCGTCTAAGAGTTTGATCTTCGTCTTGATTTTTATTCTTACAGTTGACAGTAAACGGACGCCTTGCTCGAATTTTTAATGAGCATTTAATGCTTCCAATTCATTGTTGATTTTCAGAAGAAAAAGCGATGGTGTTTCTGGTCCGTAATGCAGTGCCGATGACACCAAAATTGGCTGATAGCGTAAGATTATCTTGAACACAACTTCTAGCAGTACTTCAGTCCGAACATTCTTCGGTAACGTCATAGCCCTGCGATAGTTTCCCGAGGTACTGTTCGCAGCTGTTACGTTGCCTCCTTTGAACTCTTGTGCGACTATGCAGAAGTAGCCAGTATTGTTCTTAATCATATGTCCTGTTATGCTAGTTTTCTTTTTCCTGGCTAACTCGTTAACAGGAACTATGGAAAAGATTTCCGCACTACTGAGGTAGCACTGAAATTCTCATGCGACTTATGCATAAAGCATCGATGATTGACTAAATTCACAAAGAGCGAAATATGCTGAACTGGTCAATCCTCAAACCGCTTACACACGAAAACGATTCTTTTCTTGAAAACCTGCGTTTTAGATCTAGATAAATCAAAAAAATTGCGGTTATGAGCCACAGTCGTTGCACAATATGAAAGCCGCTATGTTATTTGGCCAAAGCAGACATAGTATCTTAGTGATCCTATCAACACCTTTAAAACACAAAGCAATTATTCTGAAAACTTGATGATTCAAAAGTCCAAATTACTTGGACAGCGTGTAACACATCTAAATTAACTTGTATTAGCCAATTTATCACCCAGACAACTGCAGCTGTCTATACCGAACCCACAAGCCGTTCTTGATGCTAGTTCTCATAGTCATACGGCATACGTGATCCTGTGAGTCAGAGTCTCGTACATACTCAAAGGCATCGAAGCTTGAACATCCAGACCGTGCATTTGCATCGAAGGAATGCACTCACATCGAGTAAATCCTTTTCAACGATTGAAAACGCCAGCGCTCTTAGCAGCTTTTCAATCTCTCCTTCCTCCCAAAGTCGAATAATGGTATTGCAGATAATATTTCATACCTTTTCACTGTCACCAAGTTCATGTGTGAGTCATAGCCGATGTTTTCTCTATAGCTCCCAGCTGTGTCTTGATTTGTCCTTGGTGCTCTCTAATGGCTGCAAGATCTCGATTGTTTTGCAGTACCAAATCTCGGATGTGAGAACCCAAAAAAATCGCTTTAGCAGCGGCAGGTGGTACCTTCGCACATACAGCACACTAAACGGAAACTAATGTTCGAGAGTCGCACACTGTAACTCAGTTGTGGTAAGAATATACATGTTTATCAAAATTTTAATCTGATCGGTTGCTATCTACGGCAGCTGATGTGATCGGAAACTTATGTGACCTGGGAAACCATGTGTGACAATTTTTGCAGGTAAGTAGATTTCGATTATAACGGTGGACATAAGCAACATTTAACAGACCATCCATGAAGCTTGTTGGTGGTCAATTTCATGTCACCCCTACGTTCGCAAGACAGAAAAATCCACTTTACATTTTTCAGGATCCGAACGGGATTGAAAAGTGTTATTGACCCTTCATTCTTGATGTTATGTTGGTGAAGATGTTGATTGTATTACATGATACAATGATACTAAAAACTGTTGATGTTTGTCCATTCGATCATATATTCTTTGGGTCCGCATATCTGAAGCAGCCAGATAAAATTTCAACTGATTTTGTTAAGTACCTGAAGCCAATGTTTGAAACACAGTATTATCTCAATATACATAGGAACATCATCGTCCAAAAAATAAGTAAATACAACTATGCTATTACCAAGCGAGAACACGCTGGCATTACCTAGTCAGTCAATATTTCCTGCCATTAAATCCCCTGAAGAACTATAAACCCAGTGCTTATCAAAAATTTCGCGGTTTCATCTGCTTTAATGTATTTACTGCTCTGCAAACAGGCTAATAGCAAAGCTGGAGGGGGACCTTCAAGAAATTGGAGATGACAGCTGCTATTTCGGAGCAGGCAGTCGTTTGAGCGAGTCTGGATTCTATAATATTGCTGAGTATGTCGATAAGTCTGCTCATTAAGAAGGATTGTGGAATCAGAGGTCGAGACAGCCACAACCTTAGAGCTAGCATCTCTGTGGAGACGAGGCTCAAGACTAGAATAGTATCTTTATCTTCAGGCAGAGAAAAAAAACGACACAGCTTGAAATTTTGAGAGCATGTTGTATTATGCCATTGAATGCCCTTGATTTTGCGTCGAACACGTTTACGTATAGATGACGTCGAATTGCATTGTCTACGAGATTGTGGACGTTTCTAGACCATCAACTATCCATGCAGCTAAAATAGCAATATACCTAAATTGGGCAATTGGGTACAGCGTAGCCTACACATCAATACACTGAGTAAAATTATATGGCAGGTCCTTTACTCGCTTGATCACGTGAGACTAACTTGGTATCTATCGATCAAGTGGCGATGTCAGCGAGTCTGCCCATCAACTTCTCATCAAGTTATGAATCAAAAATGCCCAAATTTTTACCATGTAGACATTCTATAAATCTTCGATTATTATCCTCGAATGAAACATTGTAGCAAACGAGGCAGAAACTCAATAAACGTCGTCATTTTCTTATCGACAGCTGAATTTTCTGTTCTGTGCCGTATGGAATCTATGACCCTCATATCTACCATATTGACGGACTTGAGCATTTTGTTTCAAGGTCCCAATGCTGATTGTTACTCCTTTCTAAATTACGTAGAGCAGACATTGTTCAAAGCTCAATGTGTATACATTATTTTTTTTTTCTCTCGATATCTTGACAAGTCAAGATCTTATAGGATTTAACTCTTCCACTCTTTGTTGTTGTCCTCGTAACAGAAGAACTTGTCTAATCTGGACATAAGCATAAGGAAAATTGCTGGAGCATATGCGCAGGATAGGAGGAAAGTGCATGGGATTGCTCAAACGTCTATAACGGCTTTTTAAGCCAGATAATATTGTTCTGAAGAAATATCAGCTCATCTATACCCAGACGGAAAGGCGTTGTTGACTCAGTCGGGTGAATCATATCAACCCCCATCCCTGTCCCGCCTCGTAGCGTGGAATCGTCATTTAGTACAGCGTTTGTCATGAAAATAGGTATACAGTACTATATATCCTGCTGTGTAATAAGATTCCTGGCGCTCCTTCATTGCGACCGCCTGCTTTGTTAACAAGCTGTTAAAAAAATTTCATCCTGACCACCACCTGACGGTGATACCAGACTAACGTACAAATTACCACCCGAAAGATGGGCATGTGCCCATCTTTTTGTTTGGCTTTGCGAACTTTGGGCAAAAAGAAACGCGCATACTGCAAAGCCTATGCAAGATCAATCGCTGGGTTTATATAATGGTAAGCGAAAGTGATCTGCCGTCGCTTGAATCGCAATAGTACAACATTGTAAGCATGAGGGTTAAACTATGCTAGTCTTTTCGAGGCACAATATGTTTTTAAACAGAATTACGCGTATACAGCACAGCAATACAACAGTCACTTTGTCATCATGAGGGTCGTAATCCACCTTTTTGTTTTACGATAATAAAAATCATGCTATATCTTGCTATCTTTACTAAATGGCTGCTGGTAACGTACGTTGTGAACGTGGCACGTCATGACTTGCTGTACTCTTTGAATGTCATAAGGTCAATGTTTGAATCATGCTCCCCTCTCACTCTCGCTCGTGATCAGTTCGGTGCAATCCGTGACATAATCTGAGCCACCCGACAGCAGTTGGTCGACCCTCTCTCTGAGTATCACTTTGAAATTCGGCTTGGAGCCACCAAGTCGATTCTTCTCTCAAGTGATTAGCAGACTCCCCACATGTCGCTCGTCACGTATCACTTCTCTCCCATCGGAGCATTGCCTATATCTAAGCCGCAGCCTACGTTCGTCATCGGTCCAACGGTATCTCCGACCTCTGCATCTCGACTATCTATATTCGCCATATTGAATCAAGACGAACCCACCGACAACTTGAAGGTGAGTACCACCATGGGTCTCCAAGACAACCGACACAAGGCAGCACTATCGTTTATTTTATCGTCGTCCGATGCCAAGTCAGAGATTGACCAACGCAAGACGCGAATGCGTGAATTAAGACATGAGTCGGCTGGCGTGAAGCGTATGCGCTACGTGAAAGAGATACCTGAGTCTCCTCAACTGACTTTGACAAGACCTTCCGCCTCAAAACATGAGGGTAAGAAAGGAAGTAAATTTTGCTCCGTAGAAGGATGTTCCAGTCGTGCTAAACACGCCAAGCGCTGCTGGAAGCACGGCGGCTGGGTGCGTTGCAAGGTGCTGGACTGCACTAATCGTGCCAAGTGTAAGGGCGTGTGTTGGTCACACGGTGGTGGCACTGTGTGCTCATTCAAAAATTGCTATACTATTGCAGTCTCGAATGGCTTTTGTTGGGCGCATGGAGGCGGCAAGCGGTGCCAGGTGTCCAAATGCTCGAAACCGGCGTATGAACGTACGCAAAACTATTGCCAGACACACTATGAGGAGGCTATTAGATATTAATATTCTTAAAATAAAGAGAGGCAAGGCCAAATTTTGGGTTTCTAGTGCGTTTGTCATTGCAGCGCTCGGTTCTACCGTGAGTGCCCATCACGTGGATGAGTCTGCAAAGTGTGACAAGATAATGAGAATAGCGATGTGTTTCATATTTAGGGACATCATCTTTTCACTGTTAGGAAAGCGATGATCTTTGTAAGTTTTCTTTGTTTCCCTTCCCTGACGATCAAGCTCCTATTAATAATCCTTAAGTAGTAATCTAATAGACCTTCTGCGACGAAAGAAGTGCGGTACCTGATGACCCACAAACAAATGGTTATTACAAAAGCATAGGTAATGCAATTGATACATTGTTTTCATATAGTTAAGCTATTAGCTTCAATGGGCTGGAACGTCGAGAAGTGGCGTTGAGCAAAGTGCTTCCGGTGAGGTCGATAGTCATTCTCAGGCTAGTCTGTGTAGCATTGCTCCACCAAAAATGAGCACATTAAAAGGACAACAGCAGACTTGCAAGTAAAGACAGACTATTCATGCGTTGGAGAATGCTATTACGCCAGAGAGAGGATACCATTATGCAGTCCATCCAAAAACATTACATCTGTGGTCCAAGTGATTAATTCAGATTTATTAACGAAGGTTGCAAAGGAAATTATACAGTGACAAACGTAGCCCACTATGTTTTTTCTTCCCGTCTTCTAGTCGCAATTTAAATCATCAATTACGTGATAGTAAAGCCCAACACCTATTTCGATGTATGCAATTGTAGAACCAGCTTCACCAAGTCATAGAAACTGGAAAAGTTTGCGCCTAGTACACCTTCTTCTCGGTGACATATTCTGCTACTACTATGTGAATGACCTGAATCCTTTCAGCATGCATCGAGTGTTGGTAATCGATTTGATGCAAGCAGATCGCAGATCTAAAGATATAATGATTTTGAACTGAAATTTCAACCGAAAATTTACAGACGTGCTGTATGTTCCATACATTGAACAAAGGCAGCTTTGGTATCTTGAGATTGAAAAATGATCTATAAGTTTTAAGCTTAAGCCCATAAGAATCCTTGGGTGCCTTCTAAGTTTTTATTAGTATGTGCCTTTATCACTTCAGATTTCAGCAAAACTGCTGGAGTAAGTCAAATTTTGTGATTACACATCATTGATCTCATTGATTCTGCCAGCTTTGTCCTTTTTGACCTTGTTGATTGTCTCAGCAGATACTGAAATCAAGTAGAACCCATTTGTGATGTCGAAGACGCGACAAAGCTCATCCAACAGTTTTATTCGGCATCACAACTTGATAATCATATACCTCTACGACTGAACAACTAAATTAGAGAAAATTAGTCCGAAGAGTCATATACTCTATTTAACTAAAAAAGTATCGACTATTTCTGTACTTAATTAATAGGTATGATAACCTCTCTATTGCTCTAATTCGCTCAAATTTGACCATAACATAATATGTGATTATGTATAGCCATTACGAACGCGCTTGTACCTCTACACTGTACAGTATATGTAGCATATAAGGAGAGTAGCTACCAAATCGCTGATCGTCATCAAGCCGCGAGCTAATACTGTGCTTCAAGATCTTACGGTTCATTTGCTGAGAAGATCAGATGAGAGCGGTTTGTCCCATTGAGAAATTCTTCTCAAAGACAAATTGCAGTCGACGATTAAAGTCCCGTTTTCGTTCCGGTCAAGGATTTCAATATCATCCGTCGCTACAGAAAAGCAGAGTCTATGCGCTAGCTACAGAGCTCGCGGCACAAAGATCGCCATGTTGACACTCGCTATGTCGCTAGTTAGAAAGCAGAAGAAAGCACAGCATATCAAAGTGGATAGGCTGAAAAAGAAGAAAAGACCTCTCACTCTGTCGTCATCAATTGCATGCTAAGAAATGCGCCACTCACGATTGGCCATCAGCAGCTGAACGATATCGAAGGATTCAGGTACAAGAACATCATCTCTTGACGTAGCATGCTCAAGGTGTATGTTTGCCGTCAACTTTCGGTGGTAGCTATGGGTTAGCAAGAGATGATATACAGTTGCTTGTAGCGAATGATCGATGTAGCAATAAATGACACGTTGGCGACAAGTGAGGATCTCAATGTCTCAATCTTTGCTTGCTTGTTTGCAAAAGATGCTCAGCGCTTACGCTGCTGATGGCAAGCTACTGTCAGCTTCGGGACGTAAACCCCGGCAGGACGACAGCCATAAGCAAGATTCTATCGAGGTTCTGGTATCACTTGAAGTGAGTATGCTTGGCGACAAAGAAACTACCAAGGCTAGACTTGCGATTTGCGGGGTTGTGGATTCAAACGCCAGGAGCTTGCGGCTCGTACTGATCGGGGAAGAATGAGTCCACACTAGCACTGTCGCTGAACCTCCTCCATTTCATCGTTGGTCGTTAATTTGGAATGAGTCTTTGTAAGTGATCATTGGCGTTGTTGTGGGCAAGTTTGTTATAATTTCGTCGATATTCGGAGAAAAGTCAGATTCGCAATACACTATTGTTGAAGTGATCGATATCTATATAAGCTTAAAGCAGGTGCTCCTTTAACACGATGGCCATATGTGCCTTTTCAGTGAAGTAAGTAACTCAACACTTTCATGTCCTTCATGTAGCCACCAGCAAGATGTGGCAATTGTAAAGTCGCTTTCAAAAGTGACTTGTCGAAGTCTTACACGAAAACCTCTTGGCTCAAGACATACGTCACATGTGAGTGCCTACAAGCTGTTTTTTCAGCATGTCGTGGTTTGTCAAGTTATGGCGCCTCTACATGTACGTGTAGACAGCAAGTGTCGTTTTTCAGTGAGTTAAAGACTCCAGTCATGTCATTCTAGACTAACACCTGACGCCAAGCACCTGGTACTACAACTGTATCCCTTTCTACTCGAGGTCCCGAACTTTCGGTGCAATTCTCGGCGACATAATCCGTCTTTACTCGAGTCACTTTCAGATTTGAGCTCCTTGCGCACGTCTCGATCGCAGCTTGCACTTATATTAAACAAACTTTACGCAAGGCATCACAAGATCACGTCAAACTGAATTTGTGATGGATATACGCAACAAGCTAACGTTGGCGCCCCCGGCCCCTACTTCAGATCTATCAAGCAGTGTCATCACACCAAGTGCCACCGCTGCAGGCAGGCCATTCCATTATTTGACGGGTGGGCCATCGGTATCTCCAGCTTCGCACCTTGCACTTAGCTACGTCATGCAGAACTCCGAAATTGTCGAAGATGTCAAGAACAAAGCAGCTCTATCTTTTATACTGACGTCATCTGATTCAGAATCGGATACTGAAAGATTCAAAACTAAGCATGGATCAATGACTGTAGTCACGCCTACGAATCGCAAATGTCTAGGAAAATCGACTCGTTCCAATGCTGTTTTACCTGGTCGAAAGGGTAGCAAGTATTGTTCGGTTGAAGGATGCACTAGTCGCGCCAAACACGCAAAGCGATGCTGGAAACACGGTGGCTCGGTAAAATGCAAAGTGCTTGGTTGTGTCAACCGTGCCAAGTCCAGAGGTGCCTGCTGGTCGCATGGTGGTGGCACTGTGTGCTCTCTCGAGACGTGTGAGACCATTTCAGTGTCCAACGGGTTTTGTTGGGCTCATGGTGGTGGCAAACGCTGCCAAGTACCACATTGTTCGAAGCCAGCGTATGAGCGCACACTGAACTATTGTCAAACGCACTTTGATGAACTGAGTACCACTGATCCTAGAGTGTGACTTATAAAACTCTGTTCATGTTTAAGTCTTTAAGATTATAAAGCCGTGAGTAGGTTAATCATTCAGGAGATAGAAGTCAAGGAATGGAATCGCAAGATTTACGTTTTATATCGTCTTCCGTATAATTTTTTTCTCGAGCTTCAAGCCTTTAAAATAAATTGAATCTGCTCCTCTTTTCGATGAGGAAGAAAATTACCTAAGAGTGTTTGCCTTCAACAAATAGCCTAGTAACGAAAAGTAATCTGGATGCAAGCGCGTGGCACCTCAATTTCTTGGTAATCCTCGATGATGATGAAGCTTTATGGGTGTAAACTTGAACAATCTTCAGGTTCAATTTGAAGCCCGAACTTTTATGTATGGTAATATATACGAGCGATTAATATGATTTCTTTGAAATGCCTTCAAACAGCTAAAAATGAGATGATCTTGCCTTTTTCATATTAAAAGTTGATCCACAGTAAAGTATTGTTTCAGCATTTTATGTTGCCCTCGTCAGCACAAGTTCAGATGATGACCCTTTTCTTCTTCGCATACTGATTACATGTTGTGTTGTTACTTTCTCCTATAAATTTGAACTTCCTGTAGAATCTAAGAGATGGGTTCAAATACAGTGTAACATACCGTAGTAGTTCCGGATTTTTGTTGACCTTTAACATTGAGCTCTCGGAGCCAGTGGATGAGCCTAGAATTAGTGACTAATGAGCTAAATGACGAACACGCCGAGGCGCTACATTAGCCCCTTGTCAAAATAATTTGGTAGAAATTCTACTGGTTTTAACTGGGATTTGCTTATGAAAAAATATAGCTTTACCTTGAATATGAAAGTGATGGATCGCTGGAAGCGTAAAGAGTCGATTTGACTACAGCATGTTAGTTTTATATACTTACTCCCTTCATTTTTTTCTTTTTGCTCATTGTACGAGCCAAACCGATCAAAATAATATCATTTGACGGTATACTCTTGAGTGCATTCAACTTCTTTAGCGTTACACAAAGTTTCCATCCCTTGATCATGTACGTCGGGTCAGCACAGGCAGCAGGTCGACACTCGTGAAAGTATTCTTGTCTACCATAAATGTCTTGTAGTATTTCCATACCTTCCATACACCTTGCAACGTTATTAACATATTGCTCAAATTGCTGACTTTAATGACTTTATAGGCATCGTTTACAACCACGAATAGTGTTTCTACACCGCGATATTTAGCTCGATATGGTTTGAGCAAAAGTAGCCTAGATCAAGCACATTTTGAACAAGAGAGAAAGAAGGCTGACTAATAATAGTATATTAACGCTCTCCTGCGGGACCAAAATTACTACGAGGCAGCAAGCATACGATATAAATTCGACAGGATGACGCTAATTTTCATGTGGTGATCAGTGGTCCAGAAGCTTTAGCAGCAGGAAGTAGTGGGGATTAAGCTATTCAAAATCTTTCCATTATTTTTGGACTAAGAGCCAAACTCAGAAGAACCAAAGTACAGTGATATGATGTTGTAACATGATCAGAGCTCGGAACAATTAAGGGCAAAAATAAGTTCATGAGCGCAAGGCGCTAGTCCCATGCTATGCATTACATCGAGGAGTACGAGTACTATCTACAGAACGTTCATTACGTGTGTTCAGCTAGTCGCAAGTCTATATATAATTTTTTTTAAATTCGAGTAGACTGAGTAGTCAGCCATTTGAGAGGCTCGGGTCTCCTCGCATGGTTGGTGCGCACAGCCTCATTTTCTGCGAGGTATGCTACGTGATTTCGCTGAGGCAAAGTTCCTTTGCGCAAAAGGCAAAGCTACTCTGTTGCATCTGATAGCACCTGTAGTATATTTGACGACCAGACTTATGTGAGACTGTATCCGTATTGAGGATAGACCATGACTTGCACATCTATCAGTACCATGACTAGCTCACCTATCTGTCCTTGAGACAGCTAGACACGACAAGCAGCTTACATCTTTAGTTAGGTAGACGAAGTGGCATAGTTGATTGCCCAAGGGTCAGAGGCAGTAATGAAGCGTCGGAAGACATTAAGAGCTATTCTGGCCCAGACACTCATCAGCCAGGCACAACAACCTTCACAGTGAGGTCGCTTTTGCCTAAATAACACGGCACGGACAAAAAAATAGTTTGTTTTGGGCTATACAGGTTGACAAACTATCGACGAAGTTTGCTCAACTTATGACGAACTGAGTTTATACCCCATTGAGGTCAAAGTTTGATGGGAACCACTTTATAAGAGTAACTATCTCTGAAGGCAGTTTGCAGCCCACAGATATATCGGTCACTAACAGGAAGGCCCTGGGATTTGTGAAGACAAGAAGGCTCTGATAGTTCCAAAAGCGTCATGCGATTGCTTCATACGCACGACTTTTATGAAAAGAGGACAGTAAATTTGATCATAAAGGTTACCGGATATATATTAAACATAAGTGTCTTGCAACGGGGACATATCGCAGAGTTTTTGTCTTAGCTTTCTGTCAAAGTTGGGAACTTGACAGCACGAAACCCTACATCAAAATTTAAGGTTTATATTCATTCTACATATGGCATTGCTGAAATACCAGGAGCCATGGGACGACTGGAGACCGAATAGATGTAGTATCACGCATTTTTATTCCGGCAGAGAGTGGGTCGGTCGTAAACTCACCTCTGTTAGCAAGCAGATTGCTTCTGGCGTAAGCATGAAGTTGAGATTGCTTCTTTGCAGTACACGGAGCTGTCCAAAATATTTGGCAGCAGAAATCTCACGAGGTGATAGTGAGCCGAGATTTTCCAATGAACAAAAACTGGCGACGGTACTCTCCCTCAGTGTATCTTTGAGGATCCTATCACTCGTAGCTACAAGCCGCAGCACCTAGAGATTGATTTTATTAAATTGTTTGTTGCCGTCTTCAAGTTTTAATATCGGGTGGGGATACAGCGTTTACTGTCTTCTCCTCTTTATGATTTCTCCGGGCAAAACCCGGTGAAGACAAGCGACCGAAAGTCACGAGTAGAGAGAGCAAGCGCTGATAAAACTCGTATTAACCTTGCTACGGTGTATCAGTATCGCTGGTCAGCATCATCATAACACGTGGGATTGCTGGACGACGAATTCCCTGACACCGAATCGCCACTCATTCGTTACTGTGGAAGAGCACTAAGTGCGAGAAGTGGAATTGCTTTCGTCAAGGAGCCTGGATTTTAGATCGTTTGCTAAAAGTAATGATTATGTGGTGACAAGATCTTTACCGCGTGTGCTGCTCCCAGAAAGATGGTGGGCGTCATAGGCATTTTCTGTCTCCTAGAGCCAAATATTGAAGCACAAGTCAACGGTCTTTCCCAGCGTTATAGCGTGTGTCATAAAATATCATCGTGAGGAGCACAAAGCAAGGTAGGTGGACGAGCTTAACTTTTTCTGCTCAGCGCTAATAATTATATTTTAATACTTCACGGCTACAAGAATTCTCATATTTATATCAAGTTGAAGTAACAGCCACTTTTGGCACATACACCGACGTCTCGAAAGTGCGAGCTGTAGAGCAGCATGGCGGCTACATGTTTTAAGAACAGTTAATTGTAGCTATAGTTGCCCATGAGACACAGTAATGTCTCTTTAATACTTTGAATGGGATGCTCAGAGTACGGGTAGTTATGTACAGGGCATATCTGATGAACCATCAATCTGGTGACTCAGCTGTTACGTCACGCCGAATTTATGCAACGACCTGACTCAACATTATATTCGCCAATAGTCATGCAAAGCATGATGGTTTGGATAGGACATCCGCATCAAAGAGAAGTGGTAATATCAAACTGTGTGCTCAAACAAGTTTATGGTCAACATAGATAAGTTTGTCTTTAGCGTTGTCTTAGGAATTCCCTGTTGAGATAAATAGCCTGTGTGTAGATCCCACGACATTTAAGACCAATGCGATATCGCCAGCCTCACTATCCCAAAAGGCGTCGAAGAAAGTGACCTGGCATGGCCATCTGCTGGCACAAGTGTAGCCAAATTACACCGACACGACACAAAGTCTTCTCAATATCCTTTCGAAACACAATTCATCGTCGGCTTTTTGTGTCAGAAAGACGAACAGCAAGTGACAAATTGCGTATACTACTAGATATTAAAATACAGAAAACGCGAACGATAATTTCAAGAACGGAAATGCTGTAAACAACAGTATACAAGCGTGTATTTTATAGAAGGCTCGTGACGTGGTTGATTATATTCATGTCCTTCTTCTCCGGCAAGATGAACGGGAAGTGTCTGTTTGTACCTTACCGGGCTGGTTAACGCACTAAAAACATTCAGATGCATGGTGACGTCAGGTCTCGTCGTGCATATGCACATGTCCGTATTGATATTATTCCAAGTCTTGCAGTGCACGAATATTTGGATGTGGTAAATATTCACGAGCTGTTTTCACGTGCATGTGCTGGAATAAGTTCGAAACAAGTGCGTCTTTGCCAGAGATCAGATCACATTTCTGGGGGTCCTCATCGAAAGATCCCGTATAATCTAGATCATAGTAAACTGGACAACGTTGTTTTCGTTAAGAAATTTACAAGAGTATTTTCGCCTGGACTACTGTTTAAACAATAGCTTTAAGACGTTTTAGATGATGTTAGAACGCGACAGAAGAATCGGCAATCCAGGCTGTTGATAAAAGTCTCTCGTGAGCTCTCATTCTGGCCTACCGTATCTGAAAAGAAGATTTTAAGTCGTCTGTAACGATTCGGCCTTTGTCTACTTGTCATAAGTTGCGCAGACTAAGTATAAAGCTCATGTTAGTAAGCGGGTATATCTTGTCTGATTCAGAATACACACGTTATAATATAAGCTATTAGTGGTCAGTGGGCCATAATGCATGGTAATATCATCGCCACATCTCTTTTCCAGAATAAAGAAAAGTAAATTTTCTCGAATAATCTCCTCTCTGCACATCGCACTATAGCATTGAGTGTGATTGATATGTGTATGCATAATGTGCGTTGCGCGCGTCCTTGGTCAAAATGCAATTTTCAGCCTCATGCTACCATCTTCGTCAATTTGAATTCGCAAATATTAATACAATTTTTTGCTATCTCATGCTTGCTGTAGTCCAAACAAAGTGCAACTCAAACTCAATGCTGACTTGGTCTTAAAATGTATACATTTGGGCACTCCAAGGAACGGTATATAATCGAGGTCCTCTGAGATACGTCTAGGTGCTCAATCTTCTAACCGAGATTTCGGTTCTCTGAATAACACCAGGTGTAACGTGATTTTCGTACAATTATACCGTATTGTGAATAGCACAATTGCACTTGATACAGACACATCACTCATTGGACAAAAACTCTGATTGAACTATTCCGATTGGTCAAAAGTCGCTTTATCGATCTGCTCATTCATCAGTGTGTGCAGGGCCCTTTAAAAATGTTACACGTATAGTTTGATCAAAGA